AAACTTCTTAAATCAATAAACAATTTTTGTTATCATATGTTTCATCGATTTCGTACAATTTACATAAATGAAGCAACAATTTGGTTTACTACGACAAGATAAATGCTATCTGTATTGAATAGATTTCAATATGGATATATACATTCCAATAAATGTCTAATTTATTAATAATTATTGCGCAAATTACAAAAGTAAATATGATGGCATTTATCTGGACATAGTTTACATATATTTTATATTACGTACCTAATACTATTATACATACATTCATTTACAATAAAATTAATTATATAAATATCAACGCGTTACATAATTTGTACGTGCGTATAGAAATTTACAAAGAAGGTTTAAGGGTTAAGCTGAAAATTCAATAAAATTTGAAATTAATTTGATTTATTTTCATATTTGATAATAACCGGCTACGGTTCGTTCACTTTTATTTAATTCGGCGACGAGGGTACGTTAGCTTCCCCGTCGTTGGATTTACTCGAAGAGAACGATTTTACTCAATATCTAAAAATTTATCTAGATATATCATTCAGATAGATCCGAAAATTTTTAGATACTTGAGAAAAACCGTTCTTTTCGTGTATATCCTCTGGGTACTGAGCCCTCCCACCACGTCAAGGTGTACCCGTGAGAGGGAAGATGTCATCTGAAAAAATGTAATATACAGCTATTATCTATACTACTGTGCAATTATCGATTAACTTTTGGAAATGAATATCAAAAACATTAATTCGTCGCCGAATTGCGAAATAAATTCAGAGCAGACAAAAGGGCTGAATATCTTTTATTTATAGACGATGTTTGTAAAATATGATTAGAGTCAACGGAATAGGCTAGAGTTTATAATAAAACAGAGAAATGTTTCTTTTATTATCGACAAATAGTACCAAAGTTACGTTTAATTTTTTATACGGATCGTATAACGAAAAGGGCACGAGAACAAAAAATTAATTAAATTATTAATTACATGATTATGAACAATATTAATTGTGAAAGCAGAAATTGTGTTATTTGCATGAGAATATTAACGTTGCTTTTTTATGATTCGCGTGACCACCGTTCGCACAAACAGATAATCGTGTCGCGTGCCGCTCTTCTTCACATTTCTATTTGAAACGTAATCGCGAAAAATGCTAGATATAATACGTTGTATTTTATGAATACTCACAATATACGATTACTAGCTCGCACGATTAGCATTCATATAGTACAATGTTTTGTATCATATCCAGCATTTTTCGCGATTACGTTTCAAAAAGAAATGTGAAGAAGAACGGCACGCGACACGACTACCTGTTTGTACGAGCATCGGTAAGGGAACGAATGACTGCGCGGTACCCGCGCGTAAACGTGACGCGCCGCGTGACTTATACCGCGTGACGCGCCGCGTGACGCGTCGAGTGCCTCTCCGTGCCGTCTCTCGCCGCCCGTCCACGACAAAGCAAACCCCAAGGCCGCGCGCCGATCATTTAACTGTCGAAATATTAACGTACATATATTACGAGATAAGTAAAGTAATATCTTTTACATTTTTACAATATTCTCTGACAAATAGGCTTTATTGCTTTACTTCTTACATTCGTTACGCACACTCATAAATATTTTGGATATTTCAATCGTGTTATAATAAGCGATTATTAGTTTGTAATAACTTTTTGTTACACGAAATCCGTGAAATGTACTGAATATTTTTAACGAAAGATTAACGCATTGAGTTATTCTAGTTAAAGGATATGCACGCATTCTTTATTATTATTTATTTAAATGTTTTAATTAATAAATGTGAATACGAATATTTATATTAAAAACCTTTTTGATATAAATATTCGTATTCATTTGAAAACTCAAGACTCCCTTTTAAGCAAGGAAAAATTATTTGAAACCATTTATAACAATTATTAATTAAAACATTTAAATAAATAATAGAATGCGTGCATATCCTTCAACTAGAATAATAATAATTCAATGCGTTAATCCTTTGTTAAAAATATTCAGTACATCGCGCGGATTTCGTGTAACAGAAAGTTATTACAAACTAATAATCGCTTATTGTAACACGATTGAAATATTCAAAATATTCATGAGCTGAGTGTGTGCGTAACGAATGTAAGAAGTAAAGCAATAAAGCCTATTTGTCAGAGAATATTAAAAATGTAAACGATGTTACTTTACTTATCTCGTAATATATGTACGTTAATATTATAAATTGTATTATTAATGCGAACATAAACGCTTAAACGTCCGGCTATTGGGACATTTACCTTATCTGGAATGAATGAATTGCATGAATGAATGCGAAATCCGGAGCGACTCGTAACGCAGCCATCCTCCTCTGAAATCGCCGAGCGAATACCGAAGTGACGACGTAGTCCGCCTCCGCGCCGCGCGCGCGATCCCACTCCTCGTTATTCCGCTGGCGCTCGGCCCCCCCTCTCGCTGCTCGCCGTTCGGACAGTCTACCGTCGCGTATGAAAAATATTCACGGTTTATTCAATGAAAACGTAATTTGTAATTATTCGCGTGGCTGGTATTTTTGATGTTTCAACGTTACGTCTCAATTTTCATTATTCTTTTTATAATGAGAGATTCATATTTAAATAAAGGTTGATAATATTCTTACATTCTTTACACAAAGTACACGCAAATTTTCTTAATGTTGCATTGAAACAATTTGCGCTAAATACAGCTTTTTCGACTAAAAGTATTAAATATCTTGTTAAGTATCATTTAATTTTTCAGCTAAAAAATTAATTTGAGACGCTACTATTGCTGCAAATTACTCTGTGTTTCAGAAATTCTTTAAACTTATGTATAGGTATATAATACCGATAACGGCTCGGTAAAATAACTGTTAATAACGAATTATTTAAAATAAAAGTATAGAATAAGTTCCAGAAACTTACTTAAAATATAAAATCGTAGGAATATCGGAGAAAAAACTGATACGACTTGTTTAAAGTTAAAAATATAAAACTGTTTTAATTGCTGGTAATTAGAGACTTTGGAATATACTTACATACTAGTAAATATGTTTGGTAAAAATGGGCTGAAAATCTGCATTAAAAAAATATAATTTCATAATTCCATTTTTTATGCAGGCACATATTATAAGACAAAATTCGTCAAATTAACTTGCTTGAATATTCAGTTTCGAGTTTCTTAATATTCAACAACTTTTACTTCCACAGAAGGAAATGCGAAATTGAAATTTTCGTTTAAGAACCTGTTAATAAATATTGTATTGCTAAAAGATTTATTAAATAAAAACGTAAAGATTGTTATAGCAGAACCAGAATTCGGATTTTCTTGAAATATACGCGAATTTTGTGTTATGATATGCATTTTGTATACGAGATATCTTATACATAAAAGCAAAAATGTTGTAAAAATTTATAAGAAATTTTTGTATATTATATTTTATATTAAAAAGATTTGAATCTATTTTTTATTGTTGTATTATATTTTATTATATTGTATTGTGATTACTTTGTATATTATAATTTTTTCTTTATGTTCTTTTTATTTTGGTATCAAATAAGTACATTGCATAAAAATATTATAAGAATATATAAATTCGTATGTAATACTTAAAGACATTCAAATCCAGCCAACCTCAAGTTACACGTAACGTACCTGTTATAATTAGTTGTAATTTATATATAAGAATATAACTGTAATATATGTATAATAACTGTAAACGTAATATATATTACGTGTGTTATGCTACAGTTGTATTAATTGTTACATGTAACTTGGTGTTTGCTGAGAAAGAGGAATAAATAAAAGTAAAAAATAGATAAAGTACATAATTTCTTGTTTCTTCAATTATTTATTTATTGCGAATATAACTCGTCAAATATTATTTTTATTTATTAATTCATTTATAATCTCTTTTCTAAATCTTCTTAAGCTTAAAAAAATTAATTATGGCTACACCGTTCAAACGATTTTGAAGCATTGTTGCATGCACAAAAGTAGATTTTTTAATTGTATTAAAGAACCGTATTGAAAACAACCGCTTGTAAAAGTGATCCAAGTATAACCAGAAGCAATTTAATGACATGTATGGACACTTAATAAATACCAAATTCACATGTGTGGAGTACTCCACTACACTAGACCCTGATCGCTGATTCTGTTATGGACATGAATGAAATAGCGGTGTATCAACAGACTGGAAAAGTATTGCTATACATATAGTTGGCTACTTTTCCAATTAATGCTAATACATGAACGAATTTTGCAATTACAGGAAAAAGGCTGGTATGATTGCTTTCACGCTTTTTCAGATTCATTCAGGTTGCTCCAGAGTCCAGGTCTTTCAGTGAGACAAATCGTTTGTTCTTTTTCGAAGAATTCTGAATTAGTTCTGTAGTGCAATATGTTAGAGTGAAACAAAAGGTCTGTTTTTTATTGCTGCACTCTGAACCGGTGCAATAAATATAAGTTTATTTCACTTCAACTTATTGCTGAGTGTACTAGAAAATGCAGCAATAAAAAACAGACCTATACTATTACCTGTCTCACTCTAACTTACTGCATCAGTGTACACCAGTTTAGAACTTGGTGTGGAAAAAGAACAGGCCTAAAGATACATTTCGTCCTTAAACTCTAGCTCTCTAGGTCTCTTGAAATGGTGGATGCGAGGTCCCAGGGCTCAAGATGAAAGCGGTCGAGAAACGCACTTATCGAATTGATTAAGCGAGAAGGGATCAAATTCCAACTAACTTAATTGCAGGGAATGAAAGTAACAAGTTACTTGTAACGCTGTTACTTTCCTTATCATTACTCTGTTATGATAATGATTTGGCAATGACATATTTTTTTATGACTATAACAGTAACATCAGTGTGTTGTGAACTATTGTACTAATTAATATCAGTGATTAATTATCAATAAAAAAGAAGCACATGTGATATGTGAATACTTTAATATTCTTGAAAAATATGTGACAAAATAAATTTGTAATTCGCAATTGTGTAATTATGGACATTCTAAACTTTCAGATTTTTCTAATTGACATTATTATTTTAATAAAAAATATAACTGATTATAAAAATTATATGTATAAACAATCCAATATATTTTATATATCACAATAATCTGAGCACTATTCAGACCCAGGTATTTTTTCGTCCGTAATCCATGAAATTAAATACATACACGTCTCCTGTTCTAGATACATATAACCCATAAGTAGGCCCTCGAAGATACCTAAAAGTACACCACCAAGTACATCTAATATGTAGTGTCTTCTCATCAGTAGTCTGGACATGCATACAGAAAAGGACCATGCTAGCAAAGGTGGTGAATATATCAGCGATATAGGCCACAGATTGAAGAAAAAATACACAACAAATGCTGAACGAGATGAATGTCCTGATGGAAAAGAATATTTATCAGGACCCAAAGAGAATGGATCGTCATTAATGGTTGGTCGTCTCCTTCTTGTAACTGCCTTGAGCACAGCAACTATGATGATGTCGAGCAACAATCCTGAAATGATTTTTTTTTATTTATGTATCCTAATCAATCGATTTGAGAAACACAATCAACATACTGTAAGTGAATCAATTTTAATAGAATTTTATTTGAATTTTACCTATTAAAAGGTTCATTTGCATTTGATACAAGGATTTGATATTGAAAACCCAAATTGAAACAAGAGATATTGCAAGCCAAGGTATACCGTGACATGATATCTACAGACAGATAGAAAAAACAAATTAATATTATTAGAGAAGCTTATAACAGTAGTTAATAAAGAAATAATTAATTATTTATACCTCTAATAATTTGTTATGCACTTTTAATTGTCTTAAAGGTAAAATCTTTTCCACTAATTTAACAAACTCATCTGTTAAATAAGCATCCACTGCCAATACTTTCCTCAATGTAGTTGAAATCTCTCTCTTGTCAGACTTGAAAGTATAAAAAATAATAATTATTTATATTTTTGTTCGTAAGTAAAATTTGTAGAGAAAAAGAAACACAATATATATATGGTTAGATATATGTATATTGTCCACTTGCATCTAAAGAATATAATTTACAACTTGGATAATTCTATACTTAAGTGATGAACTATATGTGATATATTATTAGGCCTGTTCTTTTTGGCTGAACTTTGGCACCAGTTCATCTTCCTTCTTCTTCTTTCTTCCTGGAGAGAAAAAGAAGAAAGATGAACTGGTGCAAAAGTTCAGCCAAAAAGAATAGGCCTATTAAAGCGCAGTAGAGACTGTCATAACCAAAATAGCCAAATGAATATAATGAATTACGAAAGACTCAAAAGAATGAGATAACTACCGTTTCCATGTTGCCTTCCACTGATAATAATTGCTAACGTAACAAAATGTATCAATATTATTTATCTCTGATAAATCACATTATTTATAGTGTTATATAATCACAATAAAGGAAGACTGTGTTAAATATCAGCAAACAGCTGATTCATATAACACATTCTTGTCTTTCCTCAGAATGGATCGATAGCGAATAGATATTCAACTCCAAATATTCAACTCACTAAGGTGAATCACAATGAATTGCAGTACCATATCTGATATCACATTCAGTATGAATAAATAACATTAACAGCTCGACAGATGGCGCGCATTGATAAATCCACGCTGTTTTTGCCCTCTATCATGTTTTCTGATAATTTCCACTTTACCAACAATTAGAAACAGTTGATTAAATCAACATTGGACGAATGAGTATATTAATTATTATAAATATTTTTAAAAACAAATGACAAAATTCATACCTCTTTGGAAAAATCAAACGTTGTGAAATATAACACTTAATTTATTCCTTTATTTCTTATACTATGTCAAGTTATCTGAAGGAAAACCATTTTGGATTTTTTAGTTTTATATTATTTTAAAATATTCTTATATTATATATTTTAGTTAAAAATTTGTTTATTTCTTATTATGTTATTCTTTTGTGAGTATAATATATTAATACACATATTAAAGAAATAATATTGAATCATTGGTATTTTGCTCTAGAAATAATATTAGCTAAAATTTGAAAAATAATTTAAAATACAAACTTAAAAAGTGGCTTGCGAAAACATTAATTTCCTAAAATTAACAAAGAATCCGAAGAATATAATGCTATAAGGCTAAAATGAATTCTGAGCTGTACAATTTCAAAAGATTTAATAGAATTTTATAAAATTATTTTTTGTTATCTGTAGTTATGAATAAAACTGGTTAACTGTGCCAACACATTCAGTTACAATAAATACAATGTGTATATGCACAATTGATGCAACTTGATGTGACGCTGATTGTATATATCACATAGAAGAGAGACAATGATCAGTTTATTGAAGCTGTGTAAGCTTGTTGAAAACCCGTCGAAGCAGAAATACAATTACATTTTACGAAAATACATCGGAATTATTTCTTTAAACTTATGTACATTCTAAGAAAATTACAATAATTGTATTTTAAGTTTATTATTATGACTTTTGTAGAGAGACAAAAAATGATTTTTATAATTCTTTTGTGAGTATAATATATTAATACACATATTAAAGAAATAATAAATGCGTTTTTTTAAGAAAACTGGGGTGCACTGGATATCCGGGAAATATCCGATATACGGTAGTATCTGGTACTTTTTTACTATTCGGTCGGGTATAATATATATATATATATATAAATTCGGCTGAAATTTTATATTGAAAGTCATTGATGCAGAATTTTATTCTTGCCAGCTGTTAATTTCTTGCATAGTTCTCTTTTCTCTTTTCCTTTTCACGGAAAAATAAAGAAATTTATTATCGCTATTTTTCTCTTTTTTTGGAAGTCTTGTTCCAGATATCCGACGAAATATCCGGAGAAATATTCGATATCCGGTATCTGATAATTTTACTATCCGGTGCATCCCTAAAGAAAACGATAGAAGTCACGTGGATAAGGATGTTCGGTCGTTGTACTGTTAGTTTGAGAAGTGTGCATACATACTTATATTCTATTTAATTTAAGTGCCTTCAAAAAGGTTTACACACACACACACACACACACACACACACACACACACATCAGAGAAGTGTTTTTAAAAAAATAATTTTTTCTTTATCTCAAATGAAAGTTTTGCTACATCATTAATTTAGACTACAGTCTACTTGATGCTATAAATGCTTCAAAGCATTTTTTGATTAATCGATTAGTGAAATTCTTTTTTCTGAAAGATTAATTTTTGGTCAATCAAATACTTCGAAGTATTTGTATAGCGCCAAGTAGACTGCACCCTTTTAGTTGCAATTGAATTTAAGAATATACATTTGGCTTTTCTCATACATTTTTAGAACGTCCATTAGAAACAAATATTATTGCGCGATAAGAAGATTGATAATAATTTATTGAAAGTTAAGTTAGATTGATTGTAGTTACTTTCATTTGATTAAATGACCTTAAAGCGTTGTACGATGGATATGGAAAAAATAGAAATTACTTTGTTGAAACATGTTAGTCCAGGCATGCTGTAGTAATTCAGCTTTCCACCGTAGCTCATGCGATAGTTTTTGATCTTGAAAATTGATTCTGTATATTAATCAATGTAATCTTAAATATTTCAAAGATTGCTTGGCTAGAAAGCAAAACTTAATAAACAGCGTGATATAAAAGCGTCGCGGAAATGGAGCACTATTGAAGCCGCCGTAAGGGATGCGTTGGAAGATCTGTTTCTTAAATTTTTCGACGTTGCGCAAGCGTAAGAAAGATGATCGAATGTGATCGATTGTGCGTTGCATGTTACCTGTTGACAAGTGACATACTTATCTATATATCTTTTGAAGTGATTGATACGTTAACTCTTTATCTAATTGTATAAGAATTATCGCGTGAGAGAACATACCGTATAGTAGAAGACGTATACTCTGTTAATTTTGTCACCGATGATACAAGGCATTTGATGGTTTGATATATACTGAAAAGAGAGCATTTATTGATTTATCTGAGAGGATTTGTTATGTCATACAATCTGTTGTTTATCTTCAAAGGAAAAAAATTCAAGATTTTATCATGCTTCCAGATATGGTTAATCAGCTCAGTTACAATCCGATGACCGTTGGATTCGGCATTGTACTTTGTAGTAGTCTTTCGAATTATTGATTATAAGCAGTAAACTATAGAGTTTTGAGAGCTCTATAAATTCCTCTACACGGAGAGAACAATTTTACTGAAAAATTTAAAATTTTGACATTCTAGCAATCAGTTTTCTTACCTAAAAATTTTTCTTGCAAATTTATTTTCAGATCTATATCTAACTAAATTTTTAAATTTTTTTAGCAAAATTGTTCTTTCCGTGATAAATAACAAAAATTCTTCAATTTATGTTATACCCCGCTATCTGCTGATTAGATTAAATAGAAGACGAAATATTTGATTTTTATTAATTTGCGAGAAATAATTTGGACCTCAAAGGGTTAATAACCTTCACCTGTTCTCGTCGTTTTAATGGCGTCGAATTAGACGGGTGCGATGATGAAGAGTGTTAGTAGCAATCTTGATTTCTTCTTCCGATTCAATCGATTGACGCCGCGTTAGCCCTTTACTTGGTATACCGCAAAGAGACGAAGTAGCGGCTTTCTTCGCTTGTGGTGTTGGAAATGAGGAGCGACGGATAAGCGGGGGCGGCCGCGCTCCTGAGAATGGATAATTAAATTTTATCGCCTTACCGCCACTAATCGGGTTAAAACGGTCTTGTACTGATCGCAATACTTCGCATTGTGCCAGTAATACTTGCTAGTGTCTCAATCATCGAAGACGTCGTTATAATTAAAATATTTATTTTCTGTTTAGTCAAAATATATAAATTTTATTATTCCTTACGATATTTTTTATTAATTGTTTTTTTTTTTGTTAAAGATATAGATAAATATCTGGAGTATAATATAGAGTATTGCAAAGGCAAATACATGGGAAGTATCTAAATTGAAACTTCTGATCATTCAATTTCATTAAGGATCCCACAAGATAATTGTGTTTATAGAAATTTATCGATTTTCTGTATATCTCACATATTTGTTAGATATCTTCTTGATTATGATAAATATCTGTGTACTTAGAGATTATAATCTTGGCCAAAAATATTAGGTACTTATCTGTTTTCATTAATTTGAAATTCTTTTATCTATATTATGTCCTTATTAATTACCAACATTATACATAAATTTAAAGGCTTATTGTAACAAAAAGATAATTCACAACAAATGCTATCAATCAATTTTTGAACTAAAACGTTAAATAATGTGCCTAATATTTTTGGCCAAGGTTTTATTCCTTATTATTTTACACACATACCTAACAGACGCAGTGCGGAATGATGCACTCCTGGTATGTCAAAGGACTTATGGCTTCTAATTAATTCTCTTGAAATGGGACGTCTTGTGGCGGGTATGTCCACGTTGGAGGAGCATCTCCGTGAAATAATCGTGCCTGCCCTAGACGAATCCTTATGCATTTTTGAAAAGAGAAGGTGCAATAGTTTCACGAATGCGTGTCTATCCGAGCATCGAGAGACGGTTTTTACTTATAGCTCCGCGAGGAAAACAGCGAAGCGCTTATCCCGTCGGTCTCTGCCGAATATCGCAATTTATTCCCCAATGGTGCAAACAACATAGAATCTAGCTCAATCTGGGTTTAAACTTACATCTAGCGATATTTGAGTGCAAGTCGTGCATAATGTGCTCAAATAATCAAGGATAGTATAGTTAATTGCTTGCGTTGAAATAAAGTATCTCTGAATTATAGAATTAAAATGACGATTTTATTTAGAATAAGTGTTTGAACAATTAAGAAAACTTTTGAAAATTATTTAGGCTATTTTCAAGAAGCAAATGAAAGATTCTAAAAAAAATGTACATTCTTCAAGTGAAATTTTTCAATGATGTGCGATTCGACAGACATATCCTACGCTTTAAGGATACCAAGTTCCAACGCAAGCGCTTAAGGACTTTTGTAATATGTGACGCAATACTTTTTCTCTGGCGAAGCGTATTCGCAGTACTTCAACGAGGGCAGCTATTACTGATACGAGCAACATCGTCACGAGTATGTGGCCTGCCACCGTGACGGACTTCATTTGACGCGACTTCAAGATCTCTTCAGCGCTTTCTTTCATTTCTTCGATGCTCTTCTTGGACCTGTATGTTTCCTCCTCCTCATCGTCCTCATCCTCTCTACTATCCTCTTCCTCTTCAGAGTCGCTGTCATCATCGTCGTCATCTTCGTCATCGTAGCTCTCGTCGTCTTGCACGTACGTGCAATTTCCGTCGTAATCGCTCATAAAGACGGACATCAAGCGATCCTCGTACTGCAGATTCGGACAGCGCTTTAATTTTCGATGATCTATCGGTATCGCGTGTTCTCTTTCTTTCTTGCCCGGGTCACTGACATCACTTTCATCTCCGTGATTCTGGTCGGAGTAATTCGTGTCGAACAACAATCGCAAAGGCAAAGACAGAAGCACGCCAAATATCGTCAATATCAGCAAAATGCTTACGTTGATGCCCAACGACAGTCGTTTCTCTGTCATCTTGACAAAGTATATGGTACCACGTTGTTTACCTAAATATTTTTAGTCCGGGACCAGTGTAGTCATTTTCGCGGATTTCCATTGCAACGCGATATGTGTTAGGCGGCATTCGAAGTAGTTTTCCAACTGAGAGTCAACCAATTCAATGAAAGTTGATGATCGACCAAAACTCCGAGGATGCACTTTCCGATTATTTTTGTTGATCGAATAACTCGGATGTCGGCACGCGGCGATGCATTCGATTCTCGTACCTCTTCTTGAGTGTCTTGTCTCGACGCAACTGTTGCGCGTACAAAGCAGTTCGTAGCGTGAACCTGGATTGCTGTGATATTGATTTCTTTAGGTGGACCGAGCACGTACGCGCAAGTCTAGCTGTGCCTCGTTGGCGGACACCACGCACATGCCGGTAATTAGATTACGTTTATGGTGAACGGGACGTGATAATGTGCCACGGGGTTTTGAACATATTGAAGGACGGCTAAGAATATCTGCACAATAGGTCGGACATTATTAGGGGGAAAGAGAAGAGGTAAGATTTTTTTCTTAGAAAATAAATTTGCGAGGGGAAACTCTGAACCACGTGCTGCACGTTGAAATCGATCATGTTAAATAATATGTATAAAAAACAGTTATCGGATAATATATTCGCTGCTGAATTTTTTGCTGGAAGAAGAATTGTACGCATGAAAAAGAATTAATGGGCAAACCTCAAATAATCTTTACGAAATTGAATTTGGGTGACTCTGCACGGAGAACGAAACACAAGAGCTTCCATGCGAAGCTAAGTCGTTGAGATAGCTACGACTACGGTTTCCTATTGAATGGAAGAAACGGCACAAGATGTGAGACCGTGCGAGCGGCATCCTTCCGCAGGATTCTCTAACCGCATACATAAATAATATTAGACAATATCAAATTAAAATTCGCATCTTTCTGCAAGCAACAATGGGAGCGTGGTGGCGACCAACAAAGGAAACGCCTGCCGCGCCGATTCGCGAGCAAGTGGTAGTAGTAGCATCGTGGCGGCGGCATTTATAAAAGTAATAAAACAGCCGAACAACTCACGGGAGTGAGCGGCAGCGGTGGAGACAGAGAGGAACAGTCGCGGGATAGAAAGGGCGAAAGCGAGCAGGATAAGCCGAGAGGTGAAAAGAGGGAGGCAGCAAGAGAGGAGCGAGCAAAACAGAGTGAGAGAGAGAGAGAGAAAGAGAGAGATGAAACACAGGAGAACAGCGACCCAACCCGACCGACCGGTAGCTCAGCCAGCACACGTATATCTTGCTCTGCTACTCCGATTCTTCGAGGTTCTCATTGATGAGCTCTCCCGCGTCTTCGCGGAAGCTCCAATGATCGCGTGCGAGAGACTTTAAAAATAGCTACGATTATCCACGATAGCTCGGATGTACGGTCGCAAGAAACGATTCATTAAGCGCGAAGCGGTGACAAAGTCGCGAGTACAAAATTGCAAAAATAAGATTTCCTCACCTGTCGATGTTTCATAAAAAATATGAGATGAAATAGACAGATTTTGAATTATCTGTAGTGAAATGACGTTGCATTAATTAATTAATTAATTAATTACACGTTTATTACGCAAAACACTGCAAATTCATGTGTGTAAAAGAGACTGTACTATACTATGTGTGTGATTGGTTTTTTGTACAAAAATAACATACTATACTGCATACAAAAATGGATTTACACATTTGAACGTCTACTATATATGTAGAGCGTCATTTTCACACGAAAAACTATAATTACACACATATATTATAATCACTTCTAATTAACACACTTAGATTTGCAGTGCACATTTAGATCTTTTCGTATTCGATTTGCTGGAAAAGTTTCTCCATTTTTAGCGAATTTGCCGAGAACGGAGAACTTGAGAACGGAGTAAATTTATTATCAAAGCATCTATAGTATCGCAAAGAGAACGGCGCGTTCATAATCTGTGAAAGCTATAATTATCCCGCGCGACACAATTATTTCGAGGAGCATGCGGAGAACATGCACCGGGGAATCGATTATCGCACGCACCACGGGTGCGAAGGTGCGCTTCGAGGTCATCGATTGAGCGATTTTCACAGGTCATCGATCGACGATGGTGCGCGTAGGTAGATACATAGGTTGAGAGCCAGGGTATGTAGAGCAGATGCTGCGCTCCAGCCGTGGCGGGGTGCGTGATTTTTCACCGCCGACAGCTCCTCCTTCGAGAACCACGCGCATTCCACCTCTCCCCTTCTTCTTCGGGGCCTTACCGTCGTTTCTCCCCAGGCTTCTTCATCGTTCACTCTTGTGGCGATCGTGGCATAGAGAGTTACGCGTCGATCTGCTCTCTGTGCCAAAGATCCGGGTTCAAATCCACCTAAAACACATCACTTTATTTGACCGTCACTAGAGTGATAATCTAATAAAAGTCTATACACGTAAAATAGCAACTGATGGTTCGACAGTTTTCGTCAATTAGCATGAGTTTCTTGAAATTAATTTTTGTAAAACACAATCAATTAATTAGCTTAGGCCCGGTTGCATCAACGTTACTTTGACTTTAAGCAAGACTTAAAACTCTCTCTGTCTCCGTCTCTTTTTCGCTTTAAAACGAGACCTGGTGCAACCGGGTGCCTTAGTGAATATACCAAAATTTAATTTTCATTTTTATTTAATTTATGTTAATATTATCAAACGCGCGCGCGATATACTTTTTTTTATAATAAATTTGTATATGTAAAAATACTTGACACTTACTCTACTTACAATGAACGAAGTAACTCTCTCTTTTCCTCTCTCTCGTACGATTTTAATAAAACATGTTGGACCTCTTGTTATGATTAGACTCTGATTAGTATCTCTAGTCATTACTCGAGACAATTACGTTATGTGGTCAATTCGTAATCGACGGGTTCCGAGTTTGAGATCCCAACTTCGTCCAGCATATATCTCCTTAAAGAGATTAGTGTTTTTCCCTGATGATTAAGGAGTATGTAGAGCCCAACTTGTGCTTATTTCTACCAATGTAACTTAACTTTAATCTTAATTTAACTTACTGTTTATCTTTTTCTAATTCTTCGAATGAAAAGTAAGTTATATAAACCGAGATTAAGATTAATCTACATTGGTAGAAATGGACATTAATGAATTATAGGATATACATCTTTTGTGACTTTGTCTGCGTATATCGTTAAATGCTCTTTCTGTATTTCTATACGCAGAATTCTAGTGGAGTATTGATTCTTGTTGGAGGACAGGTGCGACTAAGGCCCAGTATCACAACTCACAGTTAACTCTTAAACGAGGTTCTTCAACTTATTCATTATCTCTTTCCAATTCTAGAATTGGAAAGAGATGAGGAACAAGTTGATCCTCGGTCAAGAGTTAACTGTGAGTTGTAAAACTGGGCTTAAAAGAAACAAGCAAGCAAGCAAAATCCTTCACTCTTCGTTTCTTGCGGGCGCGCGCCTCGTCTCGCTCGCTAGTCAATGTGTAGCGACTGCGGACACGCTATTGGACACCAGTTGCATGATCTTAGATTTGCCGATCTCCTGAGTGCATCGACACACTGATACAGGGAGATGCATGCAGGCGAGGTGCGGCAGGCCTGATGCATAGGGCGCGTCCGCAAGCCACTCCCGCAGTGTCGCGTGTAGCTTGCGATGAGCGCGTGTACGCACGCGAGTCCTGCAAAATTAGTGGCGTGTCTATTGACTTTTAAATTTATCCTCCCGTCATTAAAAGACAATTGAGCGAGTAGTCGGTCACTCTTATCAAATTTCTGATAAAGTAAAACAGGGTAATTTGGATAGGTTAACAGAAATTTTGAAATTGTACAAAAGATTGAGATTATATATTAGTTCAATCAAATATGCATACAAACATTTGTTATATAAACCTTTTCATCAACCATGAATATTACTCTTTAAAACTTTTAGAGTGAACTATTGTCACTCTAAAGAGTGAAAGAGTGAAGAAAATTTGACTATTTTTAAAATAGGAAATGTAAACCGCAAAAATTTCTGTTTATTATTAATTGAAGTATATTTGTTAAAATGAACTAACTAAGTTTCAGTTTAAAATATTTCAGATGAATTAATTAAGTAAATGAATTAACATTTTGAGAGAATTAATAAGAATATAATTCTGCTAACGTGTCAGATATAATTAGCTTCTGGTACACATCATGTCAATTAACTAGATCCTGTTTTTTCAAAGATGAGTAATAATAATTGCTAGGAGACTTATCCAAAATTGTAGAAACTTGATTTTTCAAAATATTCTTTATTAGGGATTTGAATGAAACGCTCATTGCAATCGATACCATTCCGTTTCGAGTATTCTCAAAAATCATCGAAGGCGATACAAGAGACAGGTGCGTCGCGTTGGGCACCAGCTTAAATACGGCTTCGCGTGTCGCGTCACGGCCAGAATGTAACGAGCACTTTTTCCGCTGTGCTTTTTGCACATCGATGTTGACGAAGAGGAGGGGATATGGTCTGTTGCAATTTCGTGCCTAACTACCGGTATATTCTACCGGTATTAAATCACTCGTACTCGTAAAATATGTGCATCCAATTTGCGGTACAACACGCGTTCCGCTGGCCCGCGATCCGAATAATTACACATTTGATTAGGTTGATAGCGTGTAATTACCGGTTTTCCAAAAATTGATTTGTGCTCTAAAGGAGGTAATGTGTTCAAAGGAATTTTAAAGTTATCTATTGTGTCATGTTATGTGAATTTATGTGAATAACTTGAACGAGAGAGATGCATGAGTATATTTTATGATGATAAGAATCGATCGTCATAAAATATATTGCTATTTAAGTGGCACGATCAAGCATGATTATAAAATATGATATGTAATATCTTTTAACTCGCAGCAGAAACTTGAATGAAATTAGTCAGCACTTTGATATTTTAATAGCGTGATAAATGGCCGGATTCTCGTTTAGCGTCATTAGAATTTAAACTTACTGCAAATACAAATTACGAGAAACAGCTCTATACTTGGCGTTGCGATTCGTGCGTTCGTCTTATCAGAATTACCACTCGGTTGCGGCACATCCTCCATAAATAAAATTAATACTACGCCGCGTGGACATCTTGCCGCGAAACGTTTCCGTTGAGCGCGCGCGCGCCATTCATCCACCGCCAACATCCCCGCGGCCGGATCATCGAGAGCGAGGAGATATCTTGTTCTGTAAATTATAATATTATTATGCAGATTTGAGTGGTGCGCTCCGGTAAATAGGCGTGGACGACGCGCGCATATCGCTCGTTTTTC